GGTGTGGATGATCCGCTAGACGATCCAGGATTGCTCATTCAGCAACTGGAACAAGTAAGCCATTATTAAACCATCGCGTCATGGTCACAATTTAACGTGAGGATTTCAAATAATCTTCTAACCGATCTCGCATTTACTTATACTTCACGCATAACGGTAAGCGTCTGCAGTGTGACTGACGTGTCTTAGAACACTTGTACATCGGTACTTCTGCCGAAATATGCAAACGATTAAAATTGTATGTCGAATTCTGGCTTTGGGTTGGGTGGTTAGGCGTTGACGATTTGGCCACTTGTGTTCTTTGTCGAGACGCGGGTGTCTCGATACATCTTAGTGTTAATGGTACTTGCTAAGTAAGGAATTTGAAGCGTGATCTATTTCCTTCCGCCTTCTATTTCTTTCACCTCTTGGCTCTGCGCCACCTGTGGCCTTGCTATTTTGTGTACCGCTCTGGGGGGTGCCGTCACCAGCTTTTCTATTCTTCGACCGTCCCTCTCTGTCGTCCACTCTTTTCGTATTTTTCCACCCTCGTCGTCTTCGACAATTCTTGTCGGTTTCAATGTGCTCACTCCTTGGTCACTATTACTTTCAGCGCTCTCGCGCCTCACGCTCGTGGCAGGTGCTCTTCTATTCTCGTTTTCAAAACCCTCTGGCGTCCTCGTCGCACTCGTTGCTTCGGTTTCCTGGTCTTGTATCTCTCTGACCGTCTCTTGCTTTCGCTCCTCCCTGGCTCCTCGGCATGTCTTGCTGTTCACTTCTCTCACGCCGCTTGACCACTCTGTGCTTTCAGGCCTCGCTCGTCCTCACCCTCTTCTCTCCTGGAAGGGCCGGCTCGTCTGCCTGATCTATCTCTCTCTACGCCCTCCTCTGTCTCTCTCTCTCTCTCTTCTCTCTCTCTTCTTTCTCGTCTCTCTCTCCTCTCTCTCCTCTCTATTTCGTTAGTATATATATATATTATATACGCTCGCTGCTCTTCTTCTCTCTCTGTCTCTCTCTCTCCTCTCTCTCTCTCCTCACCTCTCTCACTCTCTCCCTCTCTCCCCCTCTCTCTCTATCTCTCCTCACCGCTCTCTTTATTGCTGTCCGGCAGCTGTCTACGATAGGTCGGTGTGAGTATGAGAAGACTTGCTCGCTGCTCGTGCAGCTGTTCGACGAAGCAGCGCAGACGTACCAGCAACTCGTTAGCGCCACGTCGTCACAGACACAGACGTTCGACATTGCCGTGCAGGAAGGTGTGTCTATCTTCACGAGTTGAGACCTAAGAGTTTCACATTTTGAAATTCATTTTTCTTGACGTTTTTGACATTGATGATGTTGTTGGCGTTGTTGTTGTTGTTGACATTGTTGACATTGTTGTTGACGTTATTGACGTCGCTTACATTGTTGATGTTGTTGTTGACGTTGTTGTTGACGTTGTTGTTGACGTTGTTGTTGACGTTATTGACGTTGTTGTTGACGTTGTTGTTGACATTGTTGACGTTGTTGTTGTTGTTTAGGGCGACTCACGTGGCTTGTTTACATCATCGGCGCGGCGATCGGCGGGCGTGTGTCGTTCACGAGCGCAGACGAACACGACGCGATGGATGGAGAGCTGGTGTGCAGGTGAGTTGTTCGCGCACGTTCGCATGTGTGTTGTTTGTGCATGTTCGCATGTGTGTTGTTTGTGCATGTTCGCATGTGTGTTGTTTGTGCATGTTCGCTTGTGTGCTGTTTCTGTGTGTTTGTGCGTGTGTTGTTTGCGCGTGTTCGTATGTGTGTTGTGTGCACGTGTTCGTATGTGTGCTGTGTGCACGTGTTCGTATGTGTGTTGTTTGCGCGTGTTCGTATGTGTGCTGTTAGCGCGTGTTCTCCCTGTGTGTTGTTTGCACGTGTTCGTATGTGTGTTGTGTGCGCGTGTTTATATGTGTGTTGTTTGCGCATGTGCGTATGTGTGTTGTTCGCACAGGTTCACGTGTGTGATGTTTGCACATGTTCTACCTGTGTGTGCTGTTCGCTGATGTGTTCTTGTTCACACGTTTGAGGATTAGATGGAGTTCACACTCCATATCCAAAAGTTTTGGGTGTTAAAAATAAGGCCATTCAAAGTGCCTTGCTTCCTAGTTAGTCGTGCATAGTAATACTTATAAGCCAGATACTAAGATCCTTGTGGCCTCCTGATGTTGGGACTTGTGTTGTTACCCTACTCGGTCGTCTTTCGCTGTCCGATTCTGCGTATGTAGCGTGATGTTCTGTTGTTTACAGGGTGCTGCAGCTGATGCAACTCACCGATGCGAGGCTGACATCTAGTGGCGGCTGCGAGAAGCTCGACCTCGCCATGCTGAGCTTCTTCGAACAATTCAGAAAAATATACGTCGGCGACCAGGGGCAGAAAACATCGAAGGTACGTCTGGTACATTTGTTGTTGTTGTTGTTTTGTTTGTTTAAATTGTTAACAACTTTTTGAAGATTGTTTGTTTTTGAATTTTTAAGAACTTTTGGTAGAAACATTCCTGTTGTCAGGGTAACTGTCAAGGGACGAGGGAGGATTTTTTTAAACGTTGCAGTGTTTCATTAAGTTAATGTAAATGACTGTGCATTGCATGAAGTATGTTGATAGGAATTTAGTTAGTGGATCAGTCTGGTAGAGTGAGCCTAATTTGAAATGTAGAAACATCTCAGAGATGATTTTTTCAGCTGTTTTGTTTCAAAGCAAGTCAAGAAAATGGTTGCGTAGACTTTTTTTTACCATAATTCTAGATATCAAAGAAATGTATTCTTCTATATATTTTTCGATGGTTTTTAGGTGTACAAACGATTGTCAGAGGTTCTGGGTCTCAGCGACGAGTCGATGGTGCTCAGTGTGTTTATTCGCAAAATGTGAGTACATCCTTCCCGTACCATTATTTAATACGAAAGCAAACCAAAACACTATGCTACATCCCTGCGTTTCTGCTGCACATTCCATTGTATCGATGGTTGTATTTCACATTTCATACCTTAATTCAAGGAACATTTTGTCATTGGACAAACTGTTCAGCATGTAAGCGATCATGTCGATAGAATTTCTTAACGAATTGGATGTGTTGTTGCTTGGATCAGGTTTCCTCACTGTGTAGACTCTCACACAGCATGTTCAGTTGTCTGTTTGTTGTTACCTGGCGAACTGTATGATCGGACTTCTTGCCTGTATCTCTCTCTCTCTCTCTCTCTCTCTTTCTCTCTGTTTCTCTCTCACTCCCCTCTCTCGTTCTCTCTCAGTTTCTCTTTTTCGCTTTCTCTCTC